TCTCACAGGCTGTCCCTGCCACCCCCACCCCCACCCCTGCACAGACTCCAAGCAGTCCTAAACCATGGTGGGGTCAGGGAGGAGGATCTGTGTACAGCACCTGCAGGCCCACTGAGTCCACCGTGTGCAGCCCATACCCGAGTGACAGAGACCGGTCCAGAGAGGGGATGGGCGGGGCCAGGGGGGCAGCACAGACTCAGGGCAGCTACACTCAGAGGCAGCCCCCATCCATGAGACCTCATACCAGATGGGCCCTCTGCCCCTCCACACTCAGTCCAGGACTGCCCGCCACCCCTCCTGGCTGCCTGCCAAGCCCCAGCAGACCCCAACCTGCTCAGCTCTGCCTGGCTGGGGCTTCTACACCCACACTGCTCAGGGACCTCTGTCTGTTCCCAGGGAGCCGTGGGTTCTGCTGGGCTCTGTATTCTGGGCCCCTCTTCATGGGGAAGGGAGACTGAGGTCACAGGGTGCAGGGCTGCAGGGCTGCATATTCTCTGCTGGCCTCGGCTTCCGGTGGGGCTCCAGTACCAGGACCCCTCCTGACCCCCTCCACCACCACCCCAGCAACAAGGCTCCACAGTCCAAGGCCCCTCCTGCCACCCCCCAGCCCCCACCACCGGGGTCTGAGTGACGAGGACTTCCCAGGGGGCAGCCGTGCCTGACATCCACTTCAGCCGGTTCTCCCCTTCTCTAGGCCAGAACCCCGCCTCTCTGAACAGTGACCTGTGTGTCTGAGAACTGTCCGTCCTCCCCAGCAGGTCCTTCTCAGGACCAGGCGCCGTCCCTGGATGTGGGTGTTCTCAATGTGCAGAAGGGTGCAGGGAGAGGTGGTATGGCCTCCGGGAAATGAGACTCCCCCAACCCCCCACCCCACCCCCTTGGCCGCAGCTCCTTCCTGCCTCTACCTCTCCTATCCGGGTTCCACAGAGCACCCAACCAACCCTCGTCACCCCGTCATCCCGTGTATATCTATGTGTCCTGGTCCCCAGCCCCCAGTGGGGAATGAGAAGGGAGGAGTCTCCCTGGACCCCAGGCCCAGGTAAAGGGTGAGGAGGGTGGGGCTCACCAACAGCGTGTCCTGGCTCCCAGGCCTGGGCGCAGGTGTGAAGAGCGAGGGAGGGGACTCCCTGTGCACTACCAAGGCTGTACTGGTTGAGGCTGGTCTGCAGTGCCCCCTCCCCCTCTCCCACTGGCCAGCCCCCAGCAGAGAGACAAGGGCCCACTGTGTGGTGGGGTGCTGGCTGCAGCTGCATCCGGACCTGCAGCGAGCGGGGCTTTGGCTCCAGCAGAAGAGGCAGGGGTGGGGGCTTCAGAAGGGCACTGGGACAGCACCAGCACTCAGAAATGGGGTCTGCTTCCCCACAAGGGCTGGAGGCCACAGGCAACCTCAGCAGGGGCACTGTGACAGCTGCCCAGACCCTCATGAGCGTGAATGGAGCATGCAGACCCTCCTGCCAGGGGCCTGTTGTGTGGACCCACTGCCCTGGGCCATGACAGCAGCCTGGAGCCAGAGACCCAGGCAGACCAGGAGCAGCCAGGGTGGAAGGGCAGTTTTTCCAGGTCCATGAGTTGAGCAGAGGTGTCTGTGAGAAAAGAGTGGGGCTGGGTGTTCTGTGGGGTGAGGCCCACCCTCCCAGGCAGGTAACCAGTGAGCCACCCCTACCAGGAGCCAGGTGCTCATGTGGAATCGCTCCATCAGGCAGGCAGCCCCACCTGAGTAGCTGGACGGGCAGCCTCCGGCTTCAGACAGGGCCCCAAGGAGGGGAGCCACTGGCCTGGACTGACCACAGAAGTGGCCTGAGGAGTAAAAGGGTGGCGGCCACTTGCCCCACCTCGAGTGGGGACACTCTCTCAGTGGTGGATCCCTGGTGCAGGTGGGGAGGTGGCAGCGGAGGGGCACAGCCGCACAGGTGGCCTCTGAGTGTGTCTTTCATGCACATCCACTAAAGCTACCTCCCAGACACACCCCTCCCAAAGCCAGCTGCTTTGCAGGCTGAGGCAGGCAGGAACATGGCCAAGGGCCACTATCAAGAGCAGGTGTAGCTTCCCCAGGAAGCCTTGCCTGTCTGAGGAGCCAGCCCCTAATAAATAATCACATGTCCAGTAGGCGCAATTGTATGGCTATATTATATAAAGATTATAGGAAAGTCGTAGAGAATAAGAGAAATAGAAGAGAGAGTGAAATAAAGGAGTCAGACACATTTCATGGTAGCATGCTCACCTCAGCCCCGCTTGGTGGTCCTCGTGGGGATGGGAGATGAGAGGAGCAGGAATGAGAGGGGGAGGGGAGGAGAGACTGGGGGAGAGAGCATCTTTATTGTTTTAGAGCTTTTATAGGTAGCCATTAGGCATGCATATTCAGTAGCTACATACATCACAAGGTGGGTGATAATCACAGTAAAGTCCCTGAGCTCACAGGTGAGGAAACCTAATACCTGCATTGGGGGAAGGCAGGGGCACAGCAAGGAGATAATCAGGGAATGTCTGCCTCTACAGGCAGACAGAATCAACCATGTGCTCACTTTAAGGCAGCATAGCTGTTTGGGGAGAATCTGTGGGAATGACTTTTGTTAGTTTCCCACACTTGCCTGTGTCCCTGGACACACCATGGCCTTTCCTGGTGGCCTCCGGCCCCGGGGTATCCAAGTATGGCCCAGGGTGGCCATAACCTAGCACTGGGAACAGGCTGATTCTCACAGAAGTGCCAGATGGGACGTCGGCAGGTCCCTCTTTGACTCTAGCGGCCTCTGGTGGCCCCCAAAGGGCTGTGATGGGCACTTCACCCCAACCTCGAAGTTCTGTGAGGAGGGGCCCATTCCGGACTGAGCAGCCAGCTTCCCACCCTCAGTCCCTTCGTCCACTCCTCCACGGGCTGCTCCCTGCACCAGAGCTGGCCAGCACAGACACACAGCTCCGAGCCAAGGTCAGCCAGCCCCCATTGTGGAGGCAGTTCAGGGCGCCTCCCACGCCCAGGCCTTTCAGACCGAAGGTGTTCTGAGACTGCTGAGAGCAGAGCATTCCGGGGAGTTCCCTCCTGACAGCAGAGGGCTGCTTGTATAATGGGCTGTTGGAATCGCCAGCACAGGGAGTTCACGGTTTAATGGACCCAGGATCTCCCTGCAATGGTGGTGGCGGTGGTGGCTGGTTGGTTGGTTTGGGTTTTGTGATTGTGGCTCGGGGGAACGTTTACAGGGCAAATTGGCTTCCCCTCGGATAGTCCACACCCATTTTCCTCTGAGATGTTTCCTCCCGCTGTGCCCTTACCCACCCCCAGCCCCCTTATAGGCCTGTCACTCGAAGCCCTGGAGACATGGTGGGTCACACGTTGGGCTGTTTGCCACAGGGTCAGCAGCCACTCTGTGGGAGAAAGAACTGTGTGTGTCGTCGTCCCCCCCCCAACCCAACGTGAGCAGCCTCGGAGCCCCAGGGGGCATCCCCCTCTGCTATAAGGTGGCTGCGTGCTGCAGGGCCTCGGCGGCAGAACCTGAGTTCCGGGCTTGTGGGATGTCTAAGGGCCAGGCTTGGAGTCCCACTGGCCTGCTGCAGCGAGCCTGAGTCTGGTCTTTTTTACCCTTGGGAGTTTGTTCCATCGTTCTATCCCCCACCCTTCCCAGCTGTGTGATGGGGCCCCTTCCCGGGAGCTTGGCGGTGGCCGGGCACCATTGGGCTCTTCTGGCCTCAGGCCACGGCGCTGTGGGTACTGTGGACCCTCGTCCCCATGTGGCTTTAGCTGCCTTCGGGCCTGGAGGCTCTGGCTGGGGACAGACCAATAGCTGTACCCCAGACAGTGGGTCACAGCCTGTCAAGACGCCAGTGGCTGCTCACCAAGCCGGGGCGTGGGGAGGGGCGGAAGGCTATCTTTGTGGACCCTGCCCCTGCCCCACCAAGAGCCAGAGCACAGCGCCAGCGACCTCGCACAAAACCGCAAATCCCCTGCTGGCACTGCGGGACACAGCTGGGGAGGCCAGCCCGGGTCTTCCCCGTCCCCTTAGTGGGCGGCTCTGTGTCAGGGACATGGAAGGTTTCTCTCAGGCTCGGGTTGGCATCGCCGCCCATGGCACTGTGCCCAGCGGCTGCCGGGACAGACTCCCACAGAGTGACTGGCTCAAGACAGAGAACTGGGTGCTCTCCACGTTCTGCAGGCCGGAAGTGGGAGGAACGCAGGGTGTGGGCAGGGCCCCTGCCTCCTGGGAGCGCTGGGTGCAGCTGCACCCTAGCCCTTCAGGAACTGGATGTTCTTGGGGGGTTTCCCGGGGAACTGCCGGGAGTAAAGGCGCGCCATGTACTGGAGCTCGGGGGTGGCCAGCCGCTGACACAGCCGCTGCGTGCCGTTGTCCAGGCCGAGCCGGAGCTGGTAGCCCAGGATGTTGGCCTCCCCGGACTGGTATGGCAGGAGTTGCGCGTCTGTGATCTGGGACTTGTTCTTGGGCGCCGCGTCCTGCAGGCACAGGCGGCTGAGCACAGCGCGGCGCGCGCGCAGCTGTGCCACCTCAGCGCGCAGTCGCCGCGCGCCCAGCTCAGCATCCACGCGCGCCCAGAAGGTGCGGTTGAAGTGCTCATAGAGACGCCAGTCGAGCGCGCACCAGCGCCGGGCACGCTCCTGGTCGCGGGGCGTCAGGTGAGCCACGGCGCGCGGGCTGCGGGCGTTGAGCGGGAAGTAGGCCACGTCGTCGGGCGCCCAGTGCAGCACGCGACGCAGCAGCACCATGGACTCGTCGAAGTAGTCTGCGATGAGCACCAGGTCGAACCGCCGCTCCAGCTCGAGCAGCTGCTCGTGCACCGCAGGCCCGTCCGCGTCCACGCTGTTAGGCTCCAGGCCGAAGTCGAACCACATGTTGTTGCGGGCGTAGGCGTTAAGCAGCCCAGGCTGCGCGCCATAGAAGGTCTGCGGCGCCTCCAGGAAGGTGCTCAGGTTGCGCGCTGCGCGGAAGGCAGGCACATATTCCTTGTAGTAGGCGAAGGACGACTCCAGCTGTGCCACCGGGTTCCGCACGATGGACAAGTAGAAGGTGTCCTTGGGCATGATTTTTTGCACCTGCGGACAGAGGCCAGGGCGCTGACCTCCCGGCAGGGCCCCCCAACCCCCGACCGCAGCCCTCACACCTGCCAAGGTGGAAGCCACACCTGAGCCCACATGGGCACCTGCCCCCAGGTGACGAAAGGCCCCGCCCCCAAGACCTCCAGTCCCAGAGCCCAGAACACACCACCTCCACAGACGTGCTGTGCCCTGGTGTGAAGAGACCGCAGACTCTCCACCACCTCCAACCCACCCCCAGGTAGCCTTACCCTCCATGCCCAGCGCCCAACTCTTTCTGGAGGTGCCCCGCACCTGGATGCCAAGAGGACGCGACTTTCACCCCAACCTCGAAGTTCTGTGAGGAGGGGCCCA